AGAAAAAGTGCTCATCTTTTATTTATTTCTTCTAGTATTGGAAAGACAAAGCTGAAAGCTCTTTGTCTGGAGTAGTTGAGGCAGACATTCATAGGGATTTAAGCAAATTAGCTTTGGATACTATAGGGGAGACAGCTTTTGGATATAATTTCAATACACTCATTTCTGGAGAAAATAAAGTCAGTCAGGCTGTAGAGCTCATTTTGTCAGGAAAAATGAGTGTGGTTGCAAGAGTATTGAGAAAATACATACCATTCTATGACATGATTCCTTTCCAAGAAAATGTCCAATTGAAGGAAGCTGCAGAAGTAATGAATAATTTTGTAAATGAGGTGAGCAAACCTTTTGCTTATCTGTAGCCATTAAAGAAATAGCAAATCAATATGTTTTCTCAAAGTTTTGATCAGAATTGTAAGATTTTTCATTTTGTAAAGTTGCCAGTTATGTGGGGATGTGTGTCCAAACTAAAGCAGGGAGTCTCCTGGCTAATTCTGGAAATAAGGAAATGGTTCATAGATACAAATCCCATTCTAGACTGTACTACCCACCAGGATACAGAACATCATAAAGTCTAGCCTCAGGTAAAAAGGCTGGGCATCACAGGGTTCAATCATGATGTATTGTTGATTGTTTTATGTGTGGTGGTAAGGTCAAGTCAATCATATTCATTAGGGTTATCATTAATTCACACAAATTGCAGGTCAACCATTAAAATGTATTTTGGAGGTATTTTGAACTTGCTGGGTACCAAAGAGATACGTTATAGTGTACTTAATTAATGATATTGTACATTAATTGACAGTTTGCTGACAAAAGCAACATTTGGTTTTCAGATTATCAAGAAAAAGCGAGAAGCATTGAAAAGTGGTGTAGATCCGAATGGTGTGGTATCAAGAGATTTGCTTGGTAAAATGATTCTATTACAAGATGAAGAGACAGGCAAAAGATTATCAGATGAAGTGATTGAAGCTCAAGTTCATACCTTCATGGTTGCTGGACATGAAACGACAAGTGTTTGCCTCACATGGACATTGTATCTTCTGGCAAAACATCCTGATGTTCAAGAGAAGGTGCACACATGTTTGTTTAACACATGCAGTTGATCAGTCAAAAATTAAATACATTTACGTGTCTAAACTAATAGGTCTGGCCATCATGAATGTTGATTAACTTATTAGATAATTACTTGAACACAACATAGAAACCATTCCTTTTATTGCAGGCCAGAAAAGAAGCTACATCTATTCTTGCTGGTACTGATGTGTTCCAAGGGGAACACCTTGAGGGCCTTAAATATGTAACAGCTGTCATAAAGGAATCCCTTCGCATCTATTCCCCTGCAGCAGTCAATATGAGGGAAGCATTGCAGGATGATCAACTTGGGGAATACAGTATCCCAAAGGGAACATATATCCTGATTCCTGTTTGTGCTATTCATCATATAGAGGAGTTTTGGCCAAATCATGACAAGTTTATGCCTGAAAGATTTCTTTCTGAAGGTATTTTTTACTCCATTATCCAGAAGTCTCCATGAAATAGCTCTTCTTAGTATTTGCATTCATTCCTCTGAATTTAAAAAGGCAGCTTAAAGGCAATCTGTCACAATGTTGATTGATTATAAGAACAAAGGGATTATTTATTGTTTCCAGTCCCCCTTTAATTTATCGCATTGTAAAAAATATTGTGGAGCGCTGGAATTGTGTTTAGGATATTGTTCTAGCTATTGTTCTTGTTAACCAATCCACAACGAGGCAGATTGCCTTTAACAGTGAGCAGAGAATTTTAAGGATCCTTATATGTAGAGTAAAGTTCTATAAGAACGTTTTGTTTTGATGTAACGAATATGGGTTAATGTGAAATTTACTTCATTGGTTCCCATGCTCCCATTGTAAACAAAAGATTTGTCTTCATGAAATTCTCTTACTTTGGATTGACAATCGATCTTTCTTTATATTGCAAAATTAATCTCCTTTACATTGCATTTTATTCTTCTTTGCATCCCAACTTTACTTTTATTTGATATCACAATTTATGATTTCTTTGCATCACAAATTGAGCATCTAGCTAATAATAAGGTCCTTTTTGTTGGTTGGTGAAGTATGTAAAATTTCGATGCATATGCCATTAGTTGGTCGCGATCCAAGAGAGACTGATTCTGTTCACTGCTTCAACAGGCACAAAGCAACCTGAAATGGGTAATTACAAATTCATACCGTTCTCAAATGGTCCTCGCAATTGTATTGGTTGGCGGTTTTCAATGATGGAAATGAAAGTTGTCATTGCAAAGCTACTGACTACATTCAAGTTTGAACTGGACCCGAGACAAGAAGAGATGCATACCAACTTGGAGCTCACATTAAAGCCCCATCCAAAGCCGATTTTAAGAGTTTCACCCATTGATGAGTAATTCCGAGGTGACATTTTATTTTTCTATAATGAACTGTCGTCACTGTTGGTAGCCCGCGTAAATGTTTAGTTCAGTTGTCATTTGTATTATCGATTATGCACGCGAAATTTACACACCAACGTGGATTCAAATAAACATAGAATTATATTTACACAGTATCACTTTTAGAACAATTTTTGACAGTAAACCTTTTTCCAGACAGGAATGGTAGTAAGCCGGAACTTTTTTAACATTTAGTTTGTAAGTTCCACGTTTTTAATGTGCTTGCGCATAATGTAGTATTCAAGTTATTGTATATTTACTTGTTTATAAAAAAATGATGAAGCCAAATTTAAACATCTTTGGTGAAAAGTTATGCTTTTTAAGAGAAGGTGAGGCTTTTTAATTTTTACTGGAAGCAAGCAAGCCTTTGAATCATTTGTCTGACTCTTGTCTTTGTTCCTCATTTGTCAATGTTCAGCAGTTCTATTTTTCTAATTATCAACAGCATTCCTCATTATTGTCCTTATTAGCCAGGCCTTTGCTTGTTACAGTGAATATTATATACTGTTTTAAGGAAACAGAATCCCATACCCATTTTATTGACAATCTAGCCCTTTGTTGTAAAGTCACTTTATAAAGTGTCCTAGGGAGCGAAATAAGGCCATCTCCGAATATAATATAATAGGGATGTGAATGGTCACAAGAAGAGTTCAAATGAAAGTCAAGCTAATGAATCTGTTCGGAAATGTTCGGTGGTTTTCTTTAAAGCTAACAGCGTAAGAAATTGTGGCTCAAAGGCAAAAAAAAAACAACAAAGTAGACTTCTGGAAAAAGATAATGGCATCTTCACGCAAGACTTTGAAGCTTCTTTTTCGGGAGTTAAGTGTGCGATAAGACCCAGTTATGGTCTACCCACCTATCGATTGACCCATCTATTTACCCACCTACCATAGTCATTAAATTTTCCAACGATAACTTTTCCATCACTTTTTCCGACGATAACTTTTCCATCACTTTTTTCGAACTTTTACTCGCGCTTGTGCAAACGTATGCAACAACACAATAACGCTAGACATTTGTAGAGCGTTGTTCAACTAAGTAAAGCGGTGTTCAGTGAGAGGTCACCGAGCGTACTACACATTTAGACTCAATTTCTAAAGTGCAAAGATCTCAAGCGAGGTCACGTGATATTGGCGTTTAAAATATGCCAACTTGACAGTGTTAAAAGGGGTGTTTTAACATACTGAACAACGCTTGACAACATAAAGATCAATAGAAATGTTTAGGCGATTCACTGAAGATTTTATTCTTCTTTTTGAGTTTCCCTCAACCTCTCTGAGCCTCGCCAAACATCACTGAATGTCGCTTGTTAAGATTTCCAAACGTACTTTACATTCACGCTCTACAAATGGAGGGAAATTGCTTTTGACATTGATGGATAGCGTGACGTTTTCTAAGCTGCATTGCGTATCAATATCAGAGTCACTTTCCATGACCAACCATGCAGATTAAGTTTTTCAGTTAAAAAGATACTGACATTCCTTGCCGCAGATTAAAAAGGATTTGTATCTTGTCGTGTATTGCTGCGTACATTTCTTTGTCACCTAAGATTTGGATAGTCATTGTGTGAATGTCAGGTAGGATTTAGGAGATATTTTCTGTGATATATTTATTCAGAAATCTTGTTAGCCTCGTTGTTAATTCGACTGTTAGAAAGTTGTTATGCAAATTGCATCAAACGTTTTTGAAGTCATCCTCCTACTGATCTAAAAAATAAGTCACCAAGCCGCCTCTCGTGGAAATCTGTTGATTATCTAATAACGATGTTCAATGGCCTTATTGTTCCATCAAATAAAAAGAAACTGTTAAGCAGTAGCAGAGCAGCTCAGGCTGATTAGCGTGAACAATTCGAATATGATGATTGTGTAGGTCTCAAGGTTTTTGTTTCTGTCACTAACCACTGTGACATGATCCGACATGTTATGGCTGTTCCTATTTAGGTAGCCCATGTGCCTTTCAATCTAAAATTCAAAGAGAACAAGGTACATACCATTCAGAAGCAAAATAAACAATAGTTGCATCTTCTGTATGCAATAAAGAAATGGCTACTTTTTCCGTTATCGTTGCTGGTGCTCTGGTGGTATCACTCTTTGTTGCAATATTCAAGAAACTTTACCACTCGTTTTTTGGCTGTCTTCAAAGTAAAGATATTCCCAGCCCGGCTGCCTACCCAATCCTTCGTCATATGCCGTACTTCCTTGACAGCGTTGATGATGATAAAAAACTATGTGCATGGGCAGAAGCGTTTAAAAAAGAAGGGATATTCAAGTTTGATCCATTGCTAGGTATGTTATATTTATGGAAATTTTGAATCTTAATGTCGTGATGGAAATCAATAGGTCATCATTTGCTATCAACATTGCAACTTATATAAGTGTACTAACTATTTTACTATGACCGACCATTTTTAATGACCAAAATCTCAACTGCATTCTTTGATCTGGGTCTATGGTAAATTAGGTATGAATAAATACCCCTTACCCAAGACTCGGTCAACGAAAAAACAGGATAATGTGGAAGAATGATACAAAGACTTCTCATTTTTCCTATCACCAATAGGTGAGTCGTATTGGTGTTCCGGAGTAACTGCTTGAATCTATAATATAAAGCATTTTTGGCTAACTACGAAACGCTACATTACCCATTGAAGAACACAAGATAAAATTATCCAAGTCTCTTCCTTCACCCTAAAATGATGTTTACACCCTTCACCCGGTGATTATAATGCTTGGAACCTGAAAAACATTTTTTCCAACATGACATGCACTGCTATGAACATTTTTTAAGGATTTTTGAGTGGTAGATGATTTTGCCCACGCTCACCACCACAAATTGTATGGGGTAAAAATCCTGGCTTGTTTCAAGGGCTAGGTGGGTTGTTTCGCACATATATCTTGAAGACAACTATTTGATTAAGATTTGTTTACTTACACTGTTTATGCACTTACCAGTGGAGCTATTTCACCAAAACATCATGATAATAGAAAAGATAATTTTTTGGTACCGCAAAATTTGAAGATGGCGAATGTTTCCGGTGTAGTATGCTAATCAATCCCCCATGCAAAAGTGTCCCCTCTGAGGCAGTATGCGTTTCAGTAACCATAGAACGGGCAGCGTTTCAGTATTCAATATGAAGCGGAAGAAGCGTCATATTACACCGGCACATTGCCTGCACATTTGCATTATGTTAGCTCTTTGCATGGGCCTCACAGTGGCTTAGACATTCGGGGTAAAAGTAGCATTTTGCTTGTCAGCGGTGGGGAAGTCGTAGGGCTTGGTGGGGGTAATTCCTCCACCACTGCGTGGATGTTAAAAATGCCCTGCCACTTTCATTAAAAGTTAAACCAAAATCTTAAACTTTGTTTCTTTGATACGGATTCAGGTTGGGACAATTTACACGATAAAAAGAAACTTGGTTTGGGTTCATCCTTGACTAGGTTCAACCTGGGTAGGCTTCAGCCTGGGTTGGGTTCAACCGAGGTTAAAACTGTCGTGTAAAGAGAACTCTGAAGGTGAAAGAGGGATGGTTTTTAAAAGATTATTCAAGTTCTTTATTAATTACTTTTACTTGATCTTATCTTTTTTATTGACAAGGCCCCTTTTTTCAGCTCGAGATTTTTTTCTTAGGTTCAGAG